TTGATGTCTTTTATTCATGTTCATTTTTCATGACCAAAATAACACATATTTATTCACAAAGAGTTCATTCAGTTGTCAGACCGATGTTACAACACAATCACAAGAACAGAACAATAAAAAAAAAAAACTTTTAATTGTTTATTATAATTATATGAATATGCTTGCGACATATTCAAACCCGAGATGTCAGCATGTCAGTCGAGCAAACTAACCACTCCCCCAACTCTCTGGATGGGGGTTAAGCACTCATATAGTATGTTATAATTCATCAATTCGCTTAATTGATTCGTTACCAAGACTGATTCAGAGCAATACTTGAAAATGACCACTAGGTGTCACCATAGAGATGGGTGTCGAATTGTTTCGAAGCCTCGGCACATTTGCTTCGAATGTTTCAGTGTTTCACAAAGCCTCGCTCTGCCCACCACTACTGGAAACTATGACAGGGAACTGGCTCCGTAAAGTAGCTATCGCTAGGAGAGTGATAAACGCTAAACAATACTCGGTAGTGAGGAAGAGGAAGTCCATGGCTTATGTAGGGTGTTTGATTGGTTGCAGCTGTATGTGTAATCAGTGCAATGGATGATGGGAAATGTAGTCCGGAGTGACATGCAACAGTTTGTGTAGTGTGAGAGTCAATGTAACTGGAAGGTAACATCTGGTGGCAAGCAGACGGAAAACCACAGACCGGATTCATGACAGATATAACAATAAGACCAAAATTCAATAAAGAAACAGTTAAAGCTGTTGTCCAAAAAATCATGTTGAAACTATGCGGAAATCGAAAGCACCTGCTGCATTAGACTTAACATGGATTCAAAGGCTTTACACTCACTTTTTCTCCACCCAGTTCAGTTTTCAATCATCCTGGGTGAAGGGCCATGCAGAGGATCTCATCCGCCTTTAACTCCTCAGCAGCTAACACAGTCAGCATGTTAAAACCTGCCTGATAGGCAAACATAACATTTGAGATATACATCAACTTATGGCATCAGTGAATCACAAGCATTGAATGGGCTCCAGTTTAACTAGTGCACAAGCAGTACTCTGGTGTACCTTGCTAATGGCATATGGCAACACTGGGAATTGGGTGTGCAAGGGAGGCATTCTGATCATAGATCCCGCCACGGTGGAAATATTGATGACAGCTGCTTTATTACAGGACATACCTGGTGTCCCGCTGGCTTTGGCCACTGTTTGTAGATAGGGTAGGTACTCCTGCATAAAAGAGAAAGAAAGAGAAAAAAATGTGAAAGAATTACAACATCTCTGAATTAAAGGTATACTTGACACATACTTAATGAAGGTAGCATTAAAACTGACTTTTGAATGTTGGCATTAAGCCTATACTGCACATTGTAGCTCATTATGGCAACTCATTTGTACTAGTTGAGTAGCCATCTACAAAAGTAGTCAACTCCATTACTAGTTGACACACTCTGAACACATTAACTAATCGGAAAAACGGACTAGTCAGTGCAACCTGCAGCAAGTGCAAAAAACAAATTACTGATAAACAGAATAGTAGCTCATTTTAGTGATGCAGCAGTGTGTTTGGCACTAGCTGTTCTGATCAAGATAAGAGACCAGCAAAGGCTGGTTTAGGTTCATTTAGGTTTAATGTCATGAACCTTGCAAACTCTGCCACATCCAATGACTTGTTCTTCACCCAAAGCACTCATTTTAATAGTCTGGTCACAAACTTTTGTCCCAGTGGCACAATAGTGAAAGCCCCAGCTTTGATGTTTAGCCAGGAGGTTTAATGACTTTCAAAGGACAAATAATTTTTTGTTTTTTTTTACTTTTAACAATGCTTTTACTTTACCTTAATGAAGGGTCCTATCACGTTGGTGTTGAATGTGGTTTTTCATGTCTTCTACACTGCTGGTGTGAATTGAGCCATTTGCCACGATTACAGCATTATTCACAAGCAGGTTCAAACCATTGTTTCCCAGAAGAGATCCCACTTTCTTTCCATACTCTTTGATACTGCATGGATCATCAACATCTAAAATTAACAGAACATATATTAGTGATAAGTATTAAGTAATGAAATGGTATCTTTAAAATTCTCAAAAAAACAACAACAACAACAAAAAACATTTCCAGTGAAAATTTTAAATGCACAGAGAAGGACACATGCACATTTACCAAGACGTATGATAGTGATCACACTTGGATGCTTTTTTGCCAGTTCTCTTAATACCTTAAAAATATAATATGAATAATTAAACAAGGCACATTTGGATTTCTCCTGGTATTTCTATATGTATTAGTTATTTACAACTTACCTCAGACTTTGGTCCATCTGGGTCACAACAAGTAGACAACCCTTTCACTGCTGCCATCATCTAAGTTCATCATTTTGGTTTATCCAACCTGCTCCTTAAGAGTGTTTTTTATATAAACGCAAGTGAACTCCATGCCCATTTTGAACTGAACTTGAACTTGTATTGTCCTGTGTGTATTGTGCTATGTCATACTGTATGTGGTATTGAGGTTAAGAGGAAAAGATCAATGAAATGAATAGTCAGAGAGTGAGAGAGCGAAAAAAACAAGCTAAGATAACATTTCAGCTTGATCTATGCTATTAGCTTAAATAGTAATAGTGACTGCTTGTCACTGCTTGTTAATGATTTGCAACTGCAATAAGCCTGGGTGAAACAGAGGCAGCTCATTCAAATAAAGATATTGTTTTGTCTGGTGTATTTTTAAAAACATTTGCACAACTCATGCCTAGTATCCATACATTTTCCATTGCTTAAGACTTAAGATTTCCATTGCTTTAAGATTAGGACTGGGTCACGGTGGCAGTAGACTAAGGACGCCCATTTGTCCTTTTCCCTGATTAGCTCATCCTGGGGAATCCCAAGGGATTCCCATATCAGTCCAGAGATATAATCCCTCCACATAACTCATAAAACCTGAATTGAGCAATATAGCCAATAAAAAATATAGCCTAATTAGTTTGTTTTATTTCACAGTATCAGTCTTGTCAGGACTAAAATTAGCCTATATGCCATCACTGTTAGCCTATTAGCCTATATGCATTAGCTATAGCATTACACTAGCACAATAATAATAATAATAATGACTATTTTGTCATAACATTGAAGTAGGCTATTATTGATAACAGCCAGGCTATTGTCTTCCTAGGATCAGCCTAACATACCTGGAACCATGGCAGATTGAATGACAGCATTTGTCGAATTGGAGGTGTCCACCCAGCTTTATTTTACGAACTGGAATTTTAGCTTAGCAATAGAATATAAAAACAACTAGAACAAAGTTGCTAGGCAACAGTGACGGCGCATCTTCAACCTGGAGAAAAAGTAGCAAAAGCTGAAATTATACGCCGTCTGTAATGCGAACGGTCAATTTGACCACTTTTGGCCATTCATGGTAGAAATCCTCAGAATTATTTTGTGTTTTGTAATTTAAATAAAATAACTATGTTAGAATAAAATATATACACATTTAAGAAAAGTCAGGGTATTATAGTTATATAGGTTTTATTTCAACAAAGTTATTACATTACAAAAGCTTAGACATGAGGAAAGGAAGCAAGGAAAGGAGAAAAGACTCTATTGACAGATAGGTTGAGCGTTACTCTAGAGCAGAGATGCCCGAACTCGGTCCTGGAGGGCCGGTGTCCCACAGAGTTTAGCTCCAACCTGCCTCAACACACCTGACTGGAGGTTTCAAGTATGCCTAGTAAGAGCTTGATTAGCTGCTTCAGGTGTGTCTAATTGGGGTTGGATCTAAATTCTGCAGGACACCGGCCCTCCAGGACCGAGTGTGGGCACCCCTGCTCTAGAGGGACTTACACTACTTCCTCTTATACCACTGTTTGACTAATTTATCTTCCAGAATCTGGCAATAATGTTTGGGAGGTCATTTTAGGTCAATCTCTTATCCTGCAAGGTCCATCTTGTTCACTGTTAGTAGCAGCTCACACCGTGACTCCCTTGCCACCTTGCTGTTGTCTGACTGAAACTAGTGATGGTCCTCCAGGTAGTTTGCAGTTACTGATGGTTTAATTTTTGGTTTAACGCACAATTATTCACCTTAATTCTTAAATTATTTTGCAGTTAATATATTTTCTTCTCGACATACTGTATTATGCACACACTGTTGTTCTATTCCAAGAAGCATTCATGTTAATAGTTTAATCACAAACCTATGTCCCAGTGGCACAACACTATAAGCCCCAGCCTAGATGTTTGGCCAGAAGGCAACCGCACCAACAATCTATTTCATAATTTCATGGCCTCCAAAGACGAAATGTTGCTGAAACTGTTGAATTGTTGAAAAAGAGCTGGGGGGTCTGAATAATCAGCATCAAAGCTAGACAGCAGGGCAGCGTTCCAGAATGTTGTCCCAACTCCCAAACCTCTGGGCTGTACCCTTCCCAGTTGATGTGGTACTAGAGACAACCCCTTTGCCGGCAGTCCAGGATATTCCACAAACACCATCAACCTCACCAAACTCTTTTGCCCGTTTGAGGATGGTACCCAGTGGAAAGACTGATGGGTACACTTAGGAAAAAGAAGAAGGCCTTCCAAACTTTGTATACTAACTGAGTTCCACAATCCCCATCAGTCTTTCCATAGGGTACTATCCTCAAATGGGCAAAAAAATAAATAAAATAAAATTAGTGAGGTTGATGGTCCCCTTCCATTGTACAGAAAATCATCCGGGGCCACCAGAAGTGCTCATGAAGGGTCTGGCTAATGCTGGGATGAACATTGCACAGGAAGAAGAGATTTTGTTTCATAAATGCTTCATAAAATGTATTTGCCTGAGCTTGAGCAGAATATTTTTTTCATGTTTTACATCTCTCTATCATGATTACACAAAAACATATTTTAATACTGTTTTTTTATTATTTATGAATTATTAACTTTTTTCCCTGATTCAGCCATGTGTGTGTAATTGACATCATATACAATTAAGAGAGAGAGAGAGAGACAGCACTGCTTTATTGATCAGAGTGTTTTATTGTATGAAATGGTATAAAATTGGCATGTGTCTGACATTAACCTTTGACCACATTTTTCTTCTGGTTTACCAGGGCACTGTTTCTCCAGTGTAGTCCAAGAATCCTCCGTGCTGCTTCTCTGTAAGGCTACCAATGACACGCAGCATTCCCTCCACACTTTCTTTTGATTCAAGTGGTGCCTAGTGAAAATATAAACATACATATACAGTAGTTCAGTAAAATCCATTCAACAATTTTCCAAATTGTTTGTAGTATGCTTGGGGATATGGAGCCTCTCCCAAAGTCTTGGGCAGGAAAATACCCTGGGTGAATGGGCAGTACATTGCAGGGCTAAAGACCTGTTCACACCAACACAAATCTTCAGCATGAAAATCTTGTCCAATTTTTGCATTATCAATGTGAATGCAGAAGCACACGACTACTGCAGCGGAGGGAAGAGTTTCTGTGAACCTACATTTAACAACCTCCAGTAATATACAGTTTGTTCCTCAAAGCTATCAATTATATTCAGAAGACATGGGCCCGTATTCAAAAAACATCTTAAGGCTAAAAGTAGCTCATAACATGCCGATTTAGGAGAAAATCTTAAAAATAATGGGAAATTTAGGACTCCTACATTTTTGCTCTAAGGGTATTTCACAAAGCGTTTTAGTGCTAAAACTATCTCCTAAATCTGTGAAATGTTAGGAGTAGTAGGAGTAAAAAGACTCCTAAGTCACTAAGACCAAACCACAAACTATCCTAAAATTGCTGTTGCTGGCAATCTGCCTTGGAATATAAACATTTTAGTAACACACTGCATTTATTTGCACACATATGTTTTCTCATGCATCTTTTTTGGTTGTGGAGGTTATCCCAATTCCAGATTGTCCTTTGATTATATCATTGTTTTCATTAACAAGTTGGGAAAGAAGTAACAGCTGTTCCCTTTCAGTAGGTTACTCTCGACGTCACATCGGTATGACTGACGAAATTGGGATCTCGCTTAAGCCGGGCTCACACTACAGGAGTTTTAAATACAAACCGATTATGAAATCTGGTTGCAGCACACACATAAGGAGAATCTTTGCAGATTATCTTGCCTCAAATCTTAAAATGCCAGAGGGAGCCTCACGTGATCTCACGCAGCAGATCGTCATTCAGTGATGTTTACATATGTTAGCTAGTGTGCTAGCTGCTTTCTACACTCACCCGGTACATTCAAAACTGAGGCAATTTCACTCCAGTGCTTCTCTTTCTCCTTACAGTTGTGATACGTTTTCGACACATTATACAGACAGTCGTGTTACTATAAAACGTCAAGAAGCAGTTTCCTCCGTCTCCACTATCCAACGGGGCCGTACAGCAGCTGTTTTACGGTCGCGCATTGGCTATTGTGAAAGTACTGACGTAATCATATAGCCGTCATCATCCCGATTTAAATCCTAAATATCAAACATGTTTGATATGATCGGGGCAGCCCCGATTTGTGTGCGAGCCAATCGGTAGGTGCAAGATTTGATCGGTGAATGCCTCAAATTACCAGATAATCCGAGCCGAACATCGGGACCGATCGAGGGGCTCGACAAGATTTTTGCTCCGATTCTTGGGAGGGGGAAATCGGGGCTTAATCGGGCTAAAAATCCTGTAGTGTGAGCCAGGCATTAGAGAAACCAATCTACTTCGAGTGTAACTAAATGAGCCAATGCACATTGGCATGCGATGATTGCATCCAGCTGCCGCTGATCGCAACACAAGTATAATTAGGCAGCAGGTGCAAAGCATACTCAGCTTTTCGCTTCGAAGCCAAGCGATCACATCGTTCTGCTCCTGACTACTCTACAGAGAAGGCTGAACGAGTTCAGCACGCTCTTTGGAGCTTCTTGGTGCTGGCGGTACGGCGCTTCAGCGGTGGTGGTTTCCCATGTCGAGTGGGTTGCACACATCAGGCTGCACTACCCCCTGTTTGTGTTGCAGGCAGTCATCTGCCCTGTGCACTTCAGCATGCTAAAATAGCTTTTTTCCCTAAAAGAACATTCACGGATGCGTCTTTTTAAAGACGAAGTTGCGTCTGGCAAACTCGACATTGTGTCATTGTAAAGACGGCATTGCGTCTTACTATAGACAACATATCACGTGTGTTTCGGGATGCGGTCGTTACTTGGCATCGGGTGATGGTCACAATCGCTGCCTCCCGTGTCTGGGCATTAAGCACGCTGAGGTGGCATTCATGGATGAGTCATTTTCTCATTGCGGGAAGATGACCATCTCGGAGTTGCGGACCAGGCTCCATTACCTCAAACAGGGCGGAGCTCCGTTGCCTCTGTCTCGTTTTAGTTCTCGTCCTGGCGGCAGTCAGGCGAGGGCTACTTTAGGCAGTAGCATGGGTAACAGTGATGGCAAACCCTCCAGGGAACCAACCCTCCAGGGACCATTGCTCCCCTTGCACTCCACAACCAGTTGAGCTGCCAAAGGAACGTGTTGGACCCTCTACAAGGAGCATACCAACAGTATCCTTTGGCACTCCTCCCGACGATTGGATAGTCTCCCAGTTCATATCAGAAATGCCTCAACTTATTTAGTCTCCTTGGCATTCAATATTTTTTGACTTGCTGTGCAATGATCCTTTATTTTGGTGAACCTCATCCATTTTAGTTTTATAGTGTGTATTTTATAGTTTGTGTTTTATTGTTTATAATCTTGTTGACCGGTTTTATTTTGCATAATCTGTGCAGCACTTTGGTCGACTTCAGTTGTTTTAAATGTGCCATATAAATAAACATTGTATTGTATGTCGATCGCTGCATTACCAGGCTTACCAGGTCGTGGACGGCACCTTTTTCTGCCGGAAACCGCCCTGCTAATTCCTCCTTCCTCACCACTGTCGACGGTGGTGCAGCTAGGGGGTATACGGGGGTCCCCCCAGTGGAGAGGTCGGTTGCGATGCATTTGTGTCCTAATACAGCTTCCACTTGTCAGGGCAAACCGTGCCTCCCCTCCCAGGCCTGTAGGTACTGCTTATGCGGTCTGTGGAGAAGCTGTTTCCGCCTTACACGCTACGGCGTTACTGCAGGTCCATCAGGCTAAAGCACTGAGGGACCTGCACGAGGGTGGTCACTATTCGGAAGTTCTGAAAGAGCTCCGAACCGCAACTGACCTCGCGCTCCGAGCGACGAAGTTCACCGCGAGTTCTCTGGGTCATGAGATGTCCACACTTGTGGTCCAGGAGCGCCACATCTGGCTGTGTCTGGTCGACATGAGGGATGCCGACAAAGTTTGGTTCCTCAAGGCCCCCATGTCCCAGACCCACCTCTCGACAATAGAGAAGTTTTTTCTATCTCTGGGTCCCAAGAGGACACGGAGAGTCGCGGACGGACCAAACCCGGACCACATTCTTCCTCCTCTGTCGCCAGCAGGGAGCAGCGGGCGGTTTGAGAGCATCATCAAAGGCCCTACTCACACACCCTCTCGCACCTCAGCCAGTTGGGCCTTCGGGTCAACTGGGGAAAGAGCAAACTCTCCCCGACACAGAGGATCTCTTTTCTCAGTATGGAGTTGGATTTGGTCAAACAGACAGCACTCCTCAGTCGGTGTTGAACGCGCTCAGTCAGTGTTGAACTGCCTGCATATGTTCAAGAGCAGGACGGCGGTCCCACTGAAATATTTTCAGAGGCTCCTGGGGCATTTGGCAGCTGCAACGGCAGTCACGCCGCTGGGGCTGCTTCATATGAGACCGCTTTAACACCGGCTCCATGGCCGAGTCCAGAGGTGGGCGTGGCACCGGGGCACTCACCGGGTCCAATTTACACCGGCCTGGCACCAAACCTTCACCCCGTGGTCAGACCTTGCATTTCTTCGGGCAGGAGTGCACCTGGAGCAGGTCTCCAGGTATGCTGTGGTGTACACGGATGCCTCTACCACTGGCTGGGGCCACGTACGACAGGCATGCAGTGCAACAATTTGCAACTGCAAAAAATTGCACTGGCACATCAACTGCCTAGAGTTGTCAGCAGTACGCCTTGCCTTGAACCGTCTCAGAGGGAGCTTACGAGGCAAGCACGTGCTGGTCCGCACGAACAACACTGCGACCGTTGCGTACATCAACTGACAAGGTGGTCTGCGCTCCCGTCGCATGTCGCAACTCGCCTGCCACCTCCTCCTCTGGAGTCAGAATCATCTGAGGTCGCTTTGTGCCATTCATATTCTGGGTCTGCACAACCATACGGCCGACGAGCTGTCACTAGCAGCGCTCCCCGGAGAAATGAGACTCCATCCCCAGACGGTCCAGCTGATTTGGAGATGTTTCGGAGCCGCTCAGGTAGACCTGTTTGCCTCTCCAGAGCCCTCCCACTGCCAGTTGTTTTACTCCCTGACCGAGGGAACACTCGGCACGGACACACTGGCACACAGCTGGCCGCGGTGCCTGCGCAAATATGCATTTCCCCCAGTGAGCCTTCTCACACAGACGCTGTGCAAGATCAGGAAGGACGAGGAGCAAGTCCTGCTTGTGGTGCCTTACTGGCCCAATCGGACCTGGTTTCCAGAACTAATGCTCCTCGTGACAGCCCCTCCCTGGCAGATTCCTCTGAGGAAGGATCTACTGACTCAGAGATGGGGCAGCCATAGGTTCTAGGTGACCTATCCCAAGAGGTAGTAGACACCATCACTTCGGCGTGAGCACCGTCTATGACATGCTTACGCCTTGAAGTGGAATCTGTTCGTCGAGCTGAGAAGACCCCAGAGATGCCCGATCAGAGTTGTGCTTTCCTTTCTGCAGCAGGGGAGGCTGTCTCCCTCCACCCTTAAAGTCTGCTGAAGTATCTGTCAATGAAAACTCTGCTCCTGCTTGCATTGGCCTCCATCAAGAGGCTAGTGGACCTGCACGCATTTTCGGTCGATTAATTGTGCCTAGAGTTTGGGCTGGCTGACTCCCAAGGTAACCCTGAGGCCCTGGCCCGGCTATGTGCCCAAGGTTCCCACTTCTCCCTTCAGGGATCAGGTGGTGAACCTGCAAGCGCTGCCCCCGGGGGAGGTAGACCCAGCCCTAGCTTGGCTCTGTCCCGTCCGAGCCTTGAGATGGTACGTGGACTGGACACAAAGCTTCAGGACCTCAGATCAGCTCTTTGTCTGTTTCAAAGGCTGGCAGAAGGGGAATGCCGTCTCTAAGCAGAGGATGGCCCACTGGATAGTGGATGCCATCACCCTGGCTTATCAGGCACAGGGTGTGCCCTGCCCATTCAGGTTGTGAGCCCACTCTACTAGGAGTGTTGCATCCTCCTGGGCGCTGGCTCGTGGAGCCTCTCTGACAGATATTTGTAGAGCTGCGTGCTGGGCGACCCCCAACACATTCGCTATATTCTATATACCTGCTGCCTAATTATACTCGCGCTGTGATCAACGGCAGCTGGATGCAATCATTGCATGCCAATGTGCATTGGCTCGTTTAGTTTACACCCTAAAGTAGATTGGTCTCTCTAAGCGAGATTCCAATTTCGTCGGTCATACCAACGTGACGTCTCCGTTCCCTCCTTCAGGGAACGAGGGTTACATACGTAACCGAGACGTTCTTGCATCCAGTTTGGTTTTCTTTTATGTTTGCATGAATTACTATCAGCCATGATTATTTTACTCTGCTAATTAAAAGGCTGTTTATATGCATATCCGCTAATTGTTTACGAGAAGCACACACATAAGAGGCTGACAATTAGCTGAACATATACAGTATTTGTTTAATTAGTGACACTTAGCCTGCACTTTAAAATCTTTATTTGAATGTGTCAACATTGATTTTTTTAAACCTTTATTTGAATATGGCAACATAATATCGTGCTCCACAATATTTCTATGAATAAATCTCTAACAGAGACCCCTCCCCTATCAGCCAATCACTGTGTGCATAGTAAGCATGCTGACATCATACATAGCAACGAGGTCAACCCCGCCCTTACTCTTAGCTTAAACTTCTCTCTATTCCTTAGTAAAAGTTTGTCTCAGCAGCTTTGTGAATAGATTTTAAGAGAAAACTATTACTGCTATTTAGGAGAACTATTAGTGGTAAGATAAAATGTTTTGTGAATACGGGCCCTGGAGTATACAGCACAAAATATTCCCTAATTTGGAAGCATTTAAGCTTGAGTTTAGGTCAAATTGATATAAAGTTGTAACAAAGTCTATCCATTTTATATTCAATTTTGGCCAGTAGGTAGTGTTGTCAATAAATCATTTCCGGATTACATGAAAATTATTTTATATAACAAAATGTTTTTAATATCTTGACTGTCATAGTCACAATATGATGTGACAAAAACTTAAAGACATTTTTTTTTGTATGTTTGAAAATATGTGGAAATCGAAAGCACCTGCTGCATTACACTTAACATGGATTCAAGGCAGCTACACTTACTTTTGCGCCACCCAGTTCAGTCTTCACCCATCCTGGGTGAAGGGCCATGCAGAGGATCTCATCCGCCTTTAACTCTTCCGCAGCTAACACAGTCAGCATGTTAAAACCTGCCTGATAGGTAAACATAATATTTCAGTTATACATGGACTCATGGCTTCAATATTTTATGGGTAATGAATGGGATCCAGTTTAACCAGTACCAAAGCAGGACTCTGGTGTACCTTGCTAATGCAGTAAGGCAACACTGGGAATTGGGTGTACATGGAAGGCATTCTGGTCATGGATCCCCCAAGAGTGGAGATGTTGATGACAGCTGCTTTATTAGAAGACATGCCTGGTATCCCACTGGCTTTGGCCGCTGCTTGTAGATACGGTAAGTACTCCTACAGTACATAAAAAAGAGAAATAAAAACATGTATCTGAATTAAGTTTATTTGACACAGACCAAACACATTAACTAGTGTCAAAAAAAAAAAAAAGTCAGAGCAACTTGCAGCAAGCACACCAAAGGAAACAACTGATGAACAAAGCGGTAGCTTACTAAAATAAGCTGGTCTCATCAGGCTGAGAGACCAGCTAAGGCTAGGTTAAAAGTACTTTGATACAATGCCATGCCTAGATGCAAGGCCCCAGCCTTAGATGTTAAGCCAGAAAGCAGAAGCAAATTGTTGCTTTAGAGCTCTTAGCGATGCATTACCTTAATGACTAATAAGGGTCCTATCACATTGGTGTTAAAGGTGTTTTTCATGTCTTCAACACTGCTGGTCTGAATGGTGCCATTTGCCACGATTGCAGCATTATTCACAAGCAGGTTCAAACCATTGTTTCCCAGAAGAGATCCCACTTTCTTTGCAGACTCTTTGACACTGGATGGATCATCAACATCTAAAATTAACAGAACAAATGTTAGTGCTAAAGTATTAAGCAATGAAGTGGTATTCAAAAACCACTGAAAAATCACTTTGAAATTCTAAAAAACTACTTCTAGTGAAAATTTTAAATGCAGCAGGAAGGACACATGCACATTTACCAAGACGTATGATGGTGATCACACTTGGATGCTTTTTTGCCAGTTCTCTTAATGCCTTAAGAAAGATAGTATGCATAATTAAACAAGGCACATTAGGATTTCTTTTGATGTTTTCTATTTGTGTTAGTTATTCAGAACTCACCTCAGACTTCGGTCCATCTGGATCACGACATGTAGCAAAAATATGCCGTTTTTGACAAGAATCCTCCAAGAATTGCTTAACAGTTTCTAAGCCCAAGCCCCGGTTGGCTCCGGTGATCAAGATATTGCATGCTTTCACTGCTGCCATCATTTAAGTTAATTCATCAGTCGGGATCATCCAACCTGCTCCTTAGAAGTGCTCTTTATATGAACCCAAGTGAACACCACGCCCATTTTGAACTCATGTATTGTGCTGTGTTTACTGTGCTGAGTCATACTCTATATTACTGAGGTTAAGAGGAAATGATAAATGACATGAATGAAAAGTCAGAGAGAGTGAATAAAAAAAAATAAAAATAAAAAAAACAAGCTAAGATAACAGTGAATGCTCGTTAATGATTAGCAACTGTAATAAACAGTGGCAGCTCATTCAAATTAAGGTGCAGACTCTGCATGAATGCTTGCTTCGGTGTTCTCTCTGTCTTTCTCTGTTGCTCAGATAACATTCTACATACATGCTAGTATTATAAATAGCATATGGTTTTTCATCTCATTCATCTATTGTGTAACCATCTCAAGTGTAACCGTAAGTCAATCTTTTCAGCAGTGGAATTAATAAATTAGAAATGTACAGTTTTGCACCATCATGCTGACAATGTTTCTTCAGTCATTCGGCTAAAGAATCATCCTGCAGCCTGAATTGCCCTTCAGAGTCCTCATGCCACCCCCTTTCCACCTTATGAATAATTTTCTAGAACCATCTCAGAAATTGATAAGCAAAGTATCTGCAATATATACAAAGAACAGTACTGATTTATTGCTTTATTAATTGTTTTATTGTATGAAATTGCATTTGATAAAAAGTAGTTATGTGTATGTCATAATGTAACAAATGAAACATGTTTGAAATGTTCAAACTGAGAAAATGTACCATTGTAAGGGGGAATAAAAGGTAATTTTGGATTTGATGACTGCAACACTTCTCAAAAAAGTTGGGACAGGGCCATGTTTACTACATCCCCTCTTCTTTTAACAACAGTCCACAGACGTCTGAAAACTGGAATATTTTTCATTTCATGATGTGCCGAATGTTTTCAACTGGTGAACGGTCTGGACTGCAGGCAAGACTCTTCTAATACGAAGCCATGCTGTTGTAATAGATGCAGTATGCAGTTTAGCATTGTCTTGCTGAAATATGCAAGGCCTTTCCTGAAAAAGACTTTGCCTGGATGGAAGCATACAGTATGTGTCACGATCTGCTACGGTGCGGGAACACTGAGCAAGGAACGAGGAGACCAAGAGTACAAAAACCAAGGAATTTATTAATCTTCACGGGGAATCACATGTAGCACGAAGAGTAGACATAAACAATACTGGACGCTGGAGCACACACAGGGAACACTATTTATACACACAGGAGGAGGGGATGACGAGACACACCCGGGAGCAATGAAACATCATGGGAAACACCTGGGACAGGAAGGCACATGAGGAGCAACACAACCACAAAACACGGAACAGAGTCTGACAGAACGCCCCCGTCTGGAAGGCGGGTCCTCACGCCCCATAACATCCAAAGGGG